GAATTATCATATTGTAGCTTTGAAGCATTCAAAGTTTTAGCAAAGAATTACTTGGACCTTAAATCTCATCATCTTTTTGGCAGGATTGATATCCTGTTACAGGAAACCAAAATGACTCCTGCAGATGTTGCTGAAAACCTGATGCCCAAATCAACTGAAGAAGATGGGGAAGCTTGCTTGGTGAGATTGATCCAGGCTCTAGAAGAAGCAAAAGTGAAGGCCGAGGAAGAAGCAAAAAAGAAGGCAGAGGAAGAAGCAAAGGCTAAGGCCGAGGAAGAAGCAAAGGCTAAGGCCGAGGAAGAAGAGAAGCTAAAGGCTGAGAAAGAGAAAGAAGAAAATGGTAAAGAAGGTGTCGAAGTTAATGAAGAAGTGAAAGAAAATGGTAAAGATGATAAACATTCGGCGACTAATGGTGTGAAAGAAAATGGAGATGTCTCTCATTGATGATATGATATGAAAATTGGGAGGGATCGAATGATTTGCAGCAATGAAAAAGGTCACAATAATTGGTTCAGTGTAGATATATCAAATATATGTTGATGTTGTAGTAGTGTTTTATTCGCCTTACATAGAAAAAATAACAAAAAAAATGTTAGTTGTTTCATTAGTAGCCAGTCGATTTGGAATAGGTTTCATTGTAATCCAATTTTATTGTAAATAGTGTGATTAACTATGAAGTTATGGTCATTTGAATAAATTCTTCAGAAAAATCAGAACGCAGTTCTAAGAATGTTATACGCGAGTTTGAAGTCCTAAATTTATGTTTAGACAGGTTCCTAAAGTACTTGTCACTTGAATGCATAAAAATTGATTGATCACTTCAATCAGGAAACGTGACAACAAATTAAGTGTGATTTGTCACAAGAAGACATGACATATGATATAGCCCCTATTTGACTCATATTAGGGTCCGTTTGATTGTAAAAATGGAATTGAATTGAATTGAAAATGAATTTCGGGAAATTGAATTGTCTAGAAATTGTTTCTTGAAAATTGTAAATTATTGTGTTTGATTGGTATAATTTTTCACGTGAAAAATGTTGATATTTTGAATCTTTTGGTGTTCGTTTGATCTTGTTTTTCATGAAAATTGTCGACTAAATGGATAATTTTTTTTTACAATTGTTGATAAATTTTGTTTCCATTGGAAAAAAAAAAAGAGCTAATGGTGGGAATTGGTTTTCCACCATTTCAAGGAAAAGGCACACGTGTGGCGAAAAATGTGGAAATCAAATTCCCTAAAAAATTTAGCAATCAAACACCACATTTTGGTGGAAAATAAAAAATGTTTTCCATTTTCCATGGAAAATATATCCAATCAAACATGACCTTAAAATTTGAGTCAAAGTCAAATAATTAATATTAACCACATTTTTCATGGATTCCACAACTTTTCAATAATATATTTCAAAAACTTCTATCAAAATCTACTAAAAATCTAATTTTAAACCCCACCAAACACCATAATGTTTTCCTAAATTTTCCTGTCCATTGATTTTTGTGGACGGGAATATTCAGTTCTGCTATGACACTCCGAGCGCGATTATTTTATTAGGCGTAGATCCCACCCTAGAGTGTAATCCAAAATGTCACCCAAGATGTACACACAACATTATTCAGCAATATTTCTTTTGACAAAACAATCAAACTATCCCCTATTTGAGCTATAGACATTAGTAAATAAAGACTGCTTCAAAAGAAAATGGGATGTCTTTTTGACCAGAGAAGTAACTTCCGGAGTTATCTTGCTTTCTTTGCAAAGACAATTACTTTAATGGCATGAGCCCAGTTTCTCTAATGTGGCAATGAGATGTCCCGTTGTGTTCAGGGGTAAGCAAGTGACCAGCTCCATTGAGTTTCAAAGAAAGTCTTGAGAAATGTGTTTTAATTTTGTAGTAACTATACTTCCAATCTATCGGTAATTAGATAAATGTGTTTTAATTTTGTTCAATTAGGTAACTACATTTCAATTTGATTTTAATTGTGCAACTGCATTTTAATTTGATTTCAATTGAATAACTTTAATTTGATTTCAATTAAGGTAACTTGTGCAATTCTATTGATGAAAATTGACAACGTGACAATCAATTAAAGATGATCATCACACGTTGTCGATGACTACTAGCATGGAATAATTGTAATTTAGGGAAATAAATCTATCAACTAAATTACTAGGCTCATACTATTAGGCTTGGACAAAAAAATTTGAAAAATCAACTAAACCAATCAAACTGAACCGACTCGGGTTGATTTGACACAATCAATTGGTTTAGTTTGATTTTCTTTTAAACAAAATCATAGTGGGTCAGTTCGGTTACGATTTGAAGTCTCAAACCGTTGGTTAATAGAACCAACCCAACCCATTTACATTTTAAAAATAAAAAAAAAATAAAATAAAATCAAAAGATAAATCCTGATCTCATAAATATATCTTGATTCCTTCAAATAAATGATGTTGCCGGTAAATAATAGCATTGAAAATTTCTTTCACAAGCTCATTATATTATACTTAGAATTTTTTCCCTATTCAGACAATAAAACTACACAATACATAAAAAAAACAAAAAATAAGTATTCTGCTGATCCATCTCTATTAATTCGATTTTATTTATTAGTCAATAGTTCTTTCAATGTAAAACTAGTTGATTATTTTAGTTCTTGTAATCTAAGTGAGCTCAAAATTTAGACAATTTTTTTTTAATTTCAGTTTGGACTAAAATTTCAAACTGATTAATCGATTTAAGAGTTAGAGTGGATTGATTTGAATTGAAATTTGTCCAAACTGATTAATTTAATTTTGATTTTGGATTGGCATCACAGTAAATCAAATCAAACCCCGTCTAGGCCAGAATCAAATCAACTTAATCGATACTATTATAAAAGTACACTATTGAGATTGAAGGAAAATAAACAAACATACTACACATGTGCATCTACTTTGCACATTCAAATCAGTGGACAGGTGTTTGTGTCAAACTAGTAGTACAAAATTAACGTACAACTAGTTCAATTCGAAAATAAATGTGCAAGAGTTAGGTGGAAAGCATACTATTACTTTTTTTTTTCAACCACTCCACCTAATACACAAGACTTATCAACACATGTTTACCAAAAAGAATATATTACTTTTGCTGCAATAAGCCATACATTACAAATATATATTTATATATTAGATTTACTAATGTAGTCTACAACGGTCACCACATCAACAGTTCTCCTATGTTTTTTACAATCATGTTACATGTACATTTTATTTGATATTGTGCCACGTATTGTAGCATGAGTGGCCAATTTTAAAATAACACATACATTCACGTCCATTCATTTTTGAATTTCCAAATGATATCAAACTCCATGTACAACATGAAGTGTACAAGGAGCATTATTCTACTTTTTACCGTGATGGTGAATTCTGAGAAACCTTTTCATGCCTCAAATTTCCGACATGTTCGAAGAATGAACAGGGTAACCATGGTTCCTTGCCAGTGTAAAATTTCCTCTACATAAACAAGTGTTTATGCATGCAATCCGTGTTTAAGAAAGATAGAATTTTTATTAAAGGTTTAGCTGCCAAATATTGAAGTTTCTAGGGCTGTGAGAGTTCATTCAAGGCTGAATCTTGAACAATCCACTCAGTTTTTACGTGCTTTCAGCCTAGGAATCCTGAGGCACGACAGAAACGGTTTCGACACAAAAAATTGGATTCTGTTTGCCTAGTCTAAAAATTTGGCAAGAACAATAATTTTTTTATGTCATTTGAATATTTGCTTTCATCAATTAAGTGGATTTAATAGATGGTCTAGTCACTGTTACCTTTATTTTTGATAACAGCTCCTTATTTAAAGCTTGTTGGACAATTATTAACCAACCACTAAAGATATATATGTCCACAGCAACATAATTAAGATGATGTCAACACCCATGGCTATGTTAGAAGACAATAATGTTATTCTTTAACAAGACGACAGTTGTTGAGTTTCGAAAATGGCCAATAAGTGTCGTTAGAAGACAATGTACACGTGAATCTGTTTTGTAGTATTTCTATTGTAAATAGGTTTGTAAAAAAAAAAAAAAAGATAGAGACAATATATTATGTTCTCCTTTCTATTCAAAATCCATCATCTACAATGATACAAGAATTGTCTATTTATAGTAATCAGGCCAACGGGGTCACTGTTAGATCCGAGCCACGTGGCTTGATCTGAGACCCTTGATGTCACGTCAACTCTACTTCATATTAATAATATTGACAGATTTTTAATAAGAGGTCAGTCATTCTACAAATTTAGGTTGACTTCTCGACACTTAATAAATGGACACATCGAATCAATCAATTCCGGAGACGTCCAAGCTGAACTTGCCAAGGGCCTCGAACACTTCAGGGAGTTCGGCAATAAGGGATGAGTAGGGGTAGACCAGCTCGACTGATCTTAGTGTAACGACCTTGGCATTTAATCGCGACTACTTCAAATGTTGTAGTTATTGGATAATTGCCACGTGTAAATAGGGGGTCCGTGTGGCTATTCTATACGACTAGTAACAACAGTAGTTATCCAGGTATTAACTTGTTATTTGAAGGAACAGAATTAAAGAAAATTAATATATCAAATACCAAGCTACTACATAAGACGACTAGTACAGATCATGCTACTACATAAGACGACTAGTACACATCATGAACAACATTACTCGTTGGAAGATGCAGTGTTCAATTGGGTATGAAATGCTTACAATGAGAACATGATCCACCTAGGAATCTTCATTGTTTATTGTCTGATATTGACTTCATGTCAATGCCATGGGCCCATGGCTTAAAAGTAATTTGAAAAGTAGATCTATAGCAGATCTTTCACAAAACCGGGGCCCCAGTGTCCGATAAAGGCAATAAATGCTTCGAGCCAACCTTCCAGGTGAGTACACTCCGGTACAAATGGTTTTTTCCTTTATCGATTTTGTAAAATTTTCCGTGTAATCAATATTATAAAAAGACAAATATGAAGACTACCAAGTCAAGCATCAACCGATGCACGTGCAGGTCCTAGTCCTACATATACTGGCAAAAGTAAAGCTCGTAAATCAGATATCCAGGAAAATTTGTAACACAGAAAAAAGAAAAGAAAAGAAAATGCTGATGACAATTGGAGAAATGATGACTGGAGTAGGCTCTGCAATTGCAGGCCTAATGGTGGCTTATGCCATGTTTCAGAATTACTTCCCTTATGACCTCCGAAAACCTGTCAAGCTTTACATCCGCAAAATCACGAATTTAGTCTATCCTTATATGAAGATTACATTTCCAGAATATCAAGGTAATGGATTTAACCGCAACAAAGCATTTGCTGCAATAGAAAGGTATCTGAATGAAAATTCATCGAAGCAGGCGAAGCATCTCAAGGCCAACGTTTTGGATGACAGCCAGGTTATAGTTCTTAGCATGGCTGATCACGAAGAGGTCACCGATGAATTCCAGGGCATCAAGCTTTGGTGGTCTTCCAACCGTGTCACTCCCCAAACGCAATCCATTTCGTTCTATCCGAGGGAGGATGCCAACAGGTATTTCATACTCAATTTCCACAAGAAGTACAGGGACATCATTACCAATTCTTATCTGAAACATGTTTTGGAAGAGGGAAAGGCTATTACTGTCAAGGAAAGGCAGAGGAAACTGTATACAAATAGCAAGGGTGAAAGTTGGAGCAGATTCACGAGAAGCAATTGGAGCCATGTGGTATTTGAACATCCGGCAACTTTTGACACTTTAGCCATGGAGCCAAAGAAGAAGGAAGAAATTATCAAAGATCTGATGAGGTTTACTGAGGCGAAAGACTATTACGCCAAGATTGGTAAGGCATGGAAGCGGGGCTATCTCCTCCATGGTCCACCTGGAACTGGGAAGTCCACCATGATCGCTGCCATGGCTAATCTTTTGAAATATGACGTTTATGATCTTGAATTGACGGCCGTTAAGGACAACACGGAGCTGAGGAAATTGTTGATAGACACGTCGAGTAAAGCAATTCTTGTAATAGAGGACATTGATTGTTCTCTTGATCTTACAGGCCAAAGGGAGAAGAAGAAGAAGGAGAAGACGGAAGAGGAAAAGAAAGAAGAAAAGGCAGATCCAGTTAAGGCGGAGATGAAAAAAAGGGAAGAAAATGACAAGAATAGTCAGGTTACATTATCCGGGCTTCTGAACTTCATTGATGGGCTCTGGTCAGCAGCTTGTGGTGCAGAAAGAATAATTGTTTTCACAACAAATTATGTGGAAAAGCTTGATCCTGCTTTGATTAGGAGAGGAAGAATGGATAAGCATATAGAATTAACATACTGTTGCTTTGAAGCATTCAAAGTTTTAGCAAAGAATTATTTGGACCTTGAATCTCATCAACTGTTTGCGACAATATGTGGCCTGTTACAGGAAACCAAAATGACTCCTGCAGATGTTGCTGAAAACTTGATGCCCAAATCGTCTGAAGAGGATGAGGAAGCTTGTTTGGCGAGACTCATCAAGGCTCTGGAAGAAGCAAAAGCCAAGGCTGAGGAAGAAGTAAAAATGAAGGCCGAGGAAGAAGCGAAGAAGAAAGTAGAGGAAGAAGCGAAAGCAGAAGCTGAGGAAGAAGAGAAGCAAAAGGCTGAGATAAAGAAAGATGAGGGGGAAGAAGCAAATGGTGAAGGTGTTGAAATCACTGGAGTAGTGAAAGATAATGAAGAAGATGCTAAAAACCCCACGTCTAATGCTAATGGTGTGAAAGAAAATGGAGATGCCTCTCACTGAAGATGTGGTGAAGTTCATGTGGTAGGAATGTTCTATTCTTGCCTTTCAATAATAAGAAGTAAGAATAATACTAGTTCTAGCTGGGGATCTGGATTAGGCTTCATTGCAATCTAATCTAAATATTGTGATATTATTAGTTTGTGCTGACAGAATATATGTTACAATGCCGAGTTTGCAATCATAATTTGTGTTTATACAATCTCTCAAAAGAAAAGGCGTGTGCAGTACTTGTCACAAATAACGAAGGGTCATTATTTGATCACTTCAATAACGAATTATGACAAAAGTAGTTGAAATTGTCACAAATACAAGATATCACCGCATCGAACTTATTTGAACTTTTTCTGCAATCAATATTTAAATAAAATTCCTATGAAATATGACTTCAAAGAAACACAACTAACCAATAGGGCAACTAACAGTCAGTCAATAAGCACATGTAGATGTTAGGATGAAGCACCACCCAAAGTATCAAGAATTCCAGGATAACCAAAACATATATTGACAAATTTAGAAAGTAACACATTCACAACCACGAATGTAACAGACACAGGAGGATTAGTAAATATGAGTTGCTGCTGGAATTAGATTTTGCCTCACTCAAAATGGCGACCTGTTTAAAGCGAAAGCAGCTTTCCATTTGGGTAACCAAAGTCTTCTGGATTAAAATATTGATCATGTCTTCACATAGCAAACAAAATAAAAGATGAAAAGGGAAAATTAGAGTCGAATTTGATATCGGTGTTCTCAGCCACGTTCTTTACTTTCTACAAGTCATAGTCCAAGGGCATCTCCCAGGTTTACTGTGTTTCTCATGGTTCTCCTCCCAATGCCTCCATTGCCTTTTCTCATCATTGCCGCAAATTCACCATAATCTATTTGTCCATCCTGCAATCACCAAGGTTTTTTAGTTAAAAGCACAAACAAGAATACACAAATTCGTTTATGGAGGAGAAAAATTAATGCCACGGATCTATTTATAGATAAGCAGCATGACTGGATTAAATTTTTTTTTACTTTAGGCTTCTCTACTAATATACTGGATTTAATGTGGTTAAAGGAAATGGAAAATTGATTTCCCACATTTTTTTCCTCTCAAGTTTATAGACATGATTTCAAGTCAGTTGTTTCAGCATTTTAACATTGAATCCAACAATGCTCGTAAGTCTTATATAAACCAATTCTAAGAAGAAATACAGGGAACACACAACTTACATTATCTTGATCAATCTCTCTTATCATCTCGTCAAGGTTAAGCTCACTCAGACCAAATTCTTTGCAGGCTTGTTGAAGCTCATCGATAGTTATGTAACCACTACCATCTTTGTCGAAGAAGGAGAAGGCTGAAACTAGATTCTCCTCTCTCTCTAACTTGTTCAAGTGCACTGTAGCCGCTAGAAACTCCCCATAATCTATTGTTCCACTGTTGTCGATGTCTGCCTGCCAATACCAAGATAGATTAGTTCATATTAATTTGAAAGAGAAGATGATAGCCATGAAAATTGAAAAAATGCAGCAGAGAGTTCTTACAGCATCCATGAGATCTTTAATCTCAGACTCCATCAGCTCAGAGCCTACACGGCTTAAACCCTCTTTAAGTTCATCGAAAGTTATAGTTCCACTATCGTCTGTATCTATCATTTTGAACAACTCCTTCAGACCACCAATTTCTTCCTCAGATAATCTCTCTGCAATGACCTGCAGAAGAGCAAAAGAATGTCAGTGACAAAGCTTTGTTAGAAGGCTGCTTATGTAAATGGATTTGTATGTGGAAATCAGACATGAAATTAAGGTAGAATAGGCTTGCTCTATTGCTTATGTGACAATGAAATCAAGAGACAAACGATGACTGTTAACATCAATTGGTAGAATGGGGGAAAAAAGGAAAGACAAACTGAATGCACACAAACGTATTATTGAATATGTTTCCCCATTTGATCTCAATTGTTCTACTAGATTTTTGCTAACTTCTAAATTATTAGTTTCAGTTACAATTCAAACGATGATAACTGAGCTCCTGTTCAACGAAAATAAAAGACTTCATTTCATTTTCGCGGCATACTTGGACCCCATTTGATTTGAGCATAGGAGTTGCTAAGAGTAAAATTGAGATAAATGGTATATATTTTTTGTTCCAGTTAAATGAATTACAGAATGACCAAATTATAGAGTTTTCTTAAGATTTCTATGTATTATATACTCTCCTTGACTTGAACTCCCCAAAACTAGATAGTTGAATAACCAATTAAGTGCATATACATATAACTCAAAAATGTTCTTTTTCCTCTGGGGGTAAGAAAATCATGGACGGGATAGCTGATTAAAAGGTATGGAGATTCTTCCATCTGTGTCTGACACTTGCAAACTGGATATGATTCTCTAACCAATGATACAAGTCCAGGACCTAAGCAACAACTACCATATTTATGATCAAATTAACAAGATGTGCCTTCTTTCTCAGTTTTATTATTTTCCCTGTTTTCAAATTTTCATAGGAAATATTTAGAGCATTCAATTATTAGTATACTAATTTCATAGAGGACACGTACACATACTTACCTAAAGTTTAAAAATTCACATCTCTAACATTTAGATTCAAGACAGATCAAGCAAAATAGCAGAAGCGTTGCTATTATAATTTATTTATATGGATATAAAAACGATCTGAAGTTAAATTCACATTTATAAAATTAAAGAAAGCCATGCAACTACAGCATGTTTGTACTCCACATCGCTTTACTGCAACAGTATATATATCTTTGTTGTCTAGTATGTCCAAGCGACAAAAGATTTTTAGGAAGAAGCAACTAAAAGAATGACTCTACTTTCTGTTACTCTTTCATAGAGTGAAATGGTTTCCACAAAATTATTCTTAGCAACAAATCTCTGTTATCATTATTTTTGATAAATATAACGTTTATTCTTAATGAACAAAACGAAATACCTATGGTTTCACACATAATAAATTATCCATCATTTTTTACAGAGATATGAATGGGTTCGACAATCAAAATATAACAAGTCAACTCAAAAAAACCAGCAGAAACCTTACACGTAAAGCCATCTTCTTGAGTTTGTTCATTGCTGAGAACTGTTTGAGGCGTGAAAGAACTGCAGAATCAAGCGGCTTATCAGGAGCCATTTTGTCGTCAACAATCCATGGATGGCCTGTTAAGGAAAAGGAAAACAGTCATTTCATTGTGATAAACATGCAGTGCAAGAATTGTTTCCATGGTGCCAGGACTGATTTAATCATCTCCTCGGGAAGGCTACTTACACAGAACTTCATGTGCTGCTATCCTTGTCTTCGGATCCCTATCCAGCATCTTCTGTATCAAATCCTTAGCACTATCTGAAATGCCAGGCCATGGTTCAGATTCAAAATCCAATTTTCCTTGCAATATCTCACGAAAAATCCCCTTCTCTGTCTCTGATGTTGAAAGTAGTACAAAATATGTAGAGGAGTTAGTTATTTAGAGTATTTTAGAAACTGAATTCTTAAAAGGCATTCTGAACCAAAACACATCAATGAACTAAGCAGGAATACACCTGCCCAGAAAGGTGGAACACCACTGAGTAAAATGTATAAAATAACTCCCGCACTCCATACATCCGCTTCATGTCCATAATGTTTACACAAAACCTCAGGTGCTACATAATAAGGGCTTCCCACTACATCGCTGAAAGTTTCATCTGAAAACCAAAATGAATATGAAACTGCCAATTTTATCATAGAAAGACTGAAATTAAGAAATGATAAAACAATAAGACATGGAGAAGACCTTCAATCAGAATTTCTCATATAATTTCACAATAATTACACAATTAAGACAAAATCTAGAGATGAATCATTTATCATCAGAAAAATGAATTAGAAGCAATCTTTGGTAAATAAGATTGCATTGATTTCAGCTCTTAACATTATTTTAGCGAATAAACAAACTTAATCATTGTGAAAGCACGAAAAAGTTCATCCATAATCCTGGATTCTAATCAAAGGGCATTCATATCATATTTTAAATTTCAATAATTTGTACTTATCTGTGCCAACAGCAAGTAACTAAACGAAGCTTTCAATTTAGATTACACTACTGTGTTGATAACTCAATAAGAAGGTTAGAGAACTAACAGAGGCCAAGTAACTCAATTCAACAAAGGTGAAGATGTATTAAATATTTTGTGGTTTGTGATTGGGTGACTCAAACAACTTTGTTGGCGATCATCGAACGACGCACCATTGGTGATTGCGAATCACCAACACAATCACGAGTGACATTACCGTCTATTATCCCTAATGGATGTGTATCAATGATCACAAATTATGTTGTCCAAAAATTTTGTACAAATCACCAGCAGATAAAGATTTCCATCAAGTACCATACGATATCTTGTTGGTCAACATTTTTTCTATTTTAATTCTTTTTTATGATCACTCCTTAAAATTATTTGGAAAACCAACAATCCAAGAAAGAAAAGAATCATGCCTTGTACATGAAAGTTAAACGTACAAACATCAAATGACCAATCAATCACAAAGCCAAAAAATAACCTATTTCATATTCAAACCTAAATGCGGATTGCACAATACTCAGATAGCCCAGCAATTCAAACACAATTAAAACAAACATAAAATGAAAACTTTAAAAAAATTAATGGAAAAAAGGTAATAAACAGAAAAAATATCATAGAAAAACCTGGCTTGTAGAAAACAGAGAGGCCAAAATCAGTAGCCTTGAGAGCAGCATCCTCATCAGCACTAGTAAACAAGAAATTCTCGGGCTTAAGGTCCCGATGCATAACCCCTAAAGAATGACATGCCTCGACCACCCCAACGATTGTTTTGATCAATTTGGCAGCCTCTTTTTCACTATAATGCCCTTTCTGCACAATCCTATCAAAGAGCTCCCCGCCTGCACAAAGTTCCATTACTATGTGCACAAATAGGATATCCTCATATGTCCCCTTTATTCTCACGACGTTTGGGTGCTCCGACAAGTGGTGCATTATCTGAATCTCCCTCCATACATCCTCATAGTCCTCTTTACAAATCAGCTTCTTCTTGGGTATGGATTTGCAGGCATAAAGGGTGTTGCTTGATTTTTCACTGCACAGAAAGGTCGTTCCAAACTGGCCTTGGCCTAGCTTCTTGCCTATAGTGTATAGACTTTGTAGTGTTTGTGTCCTGTATGGAAGGACCCATATGGGCTTTTGCATATGTTGTGCTATGAAAGTTGGTTTCTTGATCTCTTTTGTGGGTTTTGGTGTCTCGTTTTGTTCAGTGCTAGTACTGTTATGGGAAGGTGATGGAGTAGATGAAGACATGATTATCGTTTTATGGGTCTTTCTGATGAATCTTGAATTTAATTTGGAAGAGATGAAGGGTTAGAGTGAGTGAAAAAAATGCAGTCTTGACTTCGATTTTTTTCCTAATCTCTCTCTCCCTTCTCTTGCTCTAGATTTTCTCTCTCTAGATTCACTCGATTCTCCGTCCCTTTGATGGTTTAGTTTTCTGCGTGTGAAAACATTTGCTTTCTCTCGGTTTTTAATTGGAAATTTGTACGGAGGAATTGAAAAATCTAGTATTGAACTTCCAAACCTTTATGTATTGTGGTTATGGATTCTTAACTCTTAAAAGTATGATTATAAATTTCCAACATGTTAAATTCTGTGAATCCATAGATATTCCCGTCACACGATGAAACTTGTCAACGTGGATGATAAAATAAGTTTTGCTACATTTACTTCAAATTTGACACCGTTATGAGGTGAAAAATTTTTATTATTGATTTTAACAATCAATGACACGGAATTTGCCACGTCTTCTTGTGTCAAACTTGTACACAGAGTGTCAACAAGTTTAATTCTGTTAAAATTGCACAAGACTTTTAATTGAATTGAAGACAAATATGAAATGGTTTGATTGTTTTGTCCTTTATTTTTGTGCCACTTGGAGATCGGTTTTAGTTTATATTAAATTGAATTTGCTACATCTTCAGGTGTCAAACTTATTGTACACTGAGTGTACAACAAGTTTAATTCTGATAAAATTGCACAAGACTTTTAATTGAATTGAAGACAAATATTTAATGGTTTGATTGTTTTGTCCTTTATTTTTTTTGTGCCACTTGGAGATCGGTTTTAGTTCATATATAGATGGTTATGATCATGCAAGGACCTCGAATTTATTGTTTAAATAGGTTGAGAAAATTTGAAAAGACCCATAATCACTACCACATTAAAGGTTGGGGAGCTCCCCTGAATTTCCCTGTAGTGTTAAAAGAAAACAATGGTAAATACAACAAACAAGCACCATTTTTACCTTGTCAATTAGTATTCATAAATATTTGCCCTTGGGGTGAAAATACAGTTTAAATTAAGAATCCAAAGACAAGGAAAGGGCATAAAATATTCTATTTAGTCAAGAAAAACAAAAACCAAAAAGCAATTAGAATCTCTGAATCCCCTTCTCCACATCCGTATTTTAATATAGTTTAAAAATCTATTAAAAAAAAAAAAAAGAGTAATCGCCTCACTGTGCAAGGGCTCTATGTTTATTTAAAAAATAAAAAATAAAAACAATTACGTGAACCTCACGTATGTGTGTGGCCAGCTGGTTTCTGGCAGTGCACGAGGGCACATCATGAGACATTGAGACCAATTAAGCAGAACCTTGTGAATGAATTATGGATTATACTCATCCCATTGTACATTAATGCAAGCTTTAATGAACCAGTATATATTGTACCTTATTCATAATAATAATACTATTTGCAGTCACTTTCTGTCTAGTCGACCAACATATCATACATGTGACGTTAGTGATTTGATATACGAGATAAGAAAAAATTATCATATCAATACATCAAATCATCATGTAGGATGACGTGTAGGGTCATTATTGCAGTGGACGATTATGAATAACATTATTCTATTCATAATCATCTCTCTAGCATAGTGAATTTCTTGCGAGTTCTTATTACTCTATAATCATCGCTATTAATAATCTTTCAAGAAATTCGAATTTATAAATCAGTATAGGAAAGGAAACGTCATTTTTAAAGTTTTTCAAGAGTCTTTGCATGATCGATTATTATACTCTATGACTATTCACCATAGTTGAGTTGACTCTTTCCAAGCCTACAAGACTTGAATCAAGGGCAATTATTGGGTGATTGGTTGAATTTTAAGTCATCGAGGTAGTGGTTCTATTGGGTTTGACTTATTAGGTATGGACTTTGACTCGTATATAGCGTAGGAAACATAAGTCACCTCCCTATTTCTTAAAATTCATTTTTTCTCAATTTCATTTTTAATTACACATTATTAAATTCGTAATATTTATCAATTTTGATCCACTCATTTCATCAACTTTTATTTTTGAAAAAGATAATAATAATAAAAATGAAAACCGACCTGCCCTGTGTCGAACGGTCATCATGGCAAAAGGTGTAATATCATGCTACTCGGGAAAATTCTTATTTGTGTGAGAAAGAAATTAGAGATCCCAGGGAAGACCCATTATACATCACATAACTTCTTCATTGGTCATTGAAGAACAGTTGGAACAACAATTTTGAAATAGAAAGTCAAACAAAACTTGGAATAAAACTAGTGAATCACGCTTGGTAAACAAAATCACGGCAGAATTCTACAATTTATTACAAGAAACATATGACAACTCCACAATTACGAACACTGCTTCATCCTCACAACTTCATGTGATTTATCCCCTTTTTTATCGTCGACGTACAGTTTCCAAAGAAAATCTATCCTTTACTCTTCAAGATCCATGCTTCCATCGAAGAGAAATACTTTCATAAGAGAATCTGCCCTACGAGAAATATGACTCAAAACGTCCGCTTTGGATCACGAGCAGCAGTCAGATGGTCCTGCAACAGCAACAATATGGTAAATTCAAAACCTCAAACGGATGCAAACAATGAATGAAGGAATAAGAACTGTTCTACATCCCTAGTTCTTAATTATGCATGATATAATAGTATGCATCCCAACATTCCCTTTAGGAAACAACCCCCTAACCACAAAGATGCAACTATGGTTCATCCATAAAAGCGCACAAGACATTTACTTCCCCGAAAATATACTGTTCATGAAATGGTGAAATGAATACATTATACAATGCAAGAGGTATCAATCTGTGTGACTTTAATACAGATAAAACTCACAAATATAAACTTAAAATATTTTAATACAAAATGGACTACAACAAAGTCTATGTAAGCACTAAAAGTTCTCAATAAGTGATTGTTCTCCATAAATTGTGGGCACAGACCTCCTATAGTGTTGTACTGGTGGTTGACATATCTTAGACATTGACAAACTTCAGACAAGGTGATGAATATCATTTTAATTCTGACAGATGAGGTCATGTTGCCAAAACTTGCACGTTGGTCCTGTGATCATTGTGCTATCTGGGTGTAAATGTTTAATTTCTTAATTCAGTGACGAGACAGAGACACGCATTTACTGAAGCAAGCAAGGGCACCCACACATACACACAATTCATGTGCCTGTGTCGCCTGTGTCCTATTAAAACATTTAGAAAACAGCAATACCATCACCCTTTTATTCTTCTGCAATGCACAATGTGCATGCAAATCATGCCACTATGATGAATAAATTGCATTCTTCCCGTTCAAGTATTTAATAATCTAAAAGTTCGAGTGATTTGACTCTGATTTCAATATATCCAATTACTTTCATGATTGATCACCACTTTCCTAAGAAGTTATAGCATTTCCTGTTCCCAACATACCCTTGATCAGCAGATTCAGCACTAAAAAATAATAAATAAATAGTACCAACTACCAAATGAACCCAGTTTATATACCTATGAACGTAAAGCTCTTTCAAATCAGAGATGCCTTTTCATAGCTTGAATTCATTGAAAAGATAATGAAAACGGCAGGATATCCAAGAAAAAGGTAGGCATCTCCTACAGTTAGAGACTTCCTACAAGGTGCATCTTTGATGAACTAATTTGAAGAATCCTGACAACATACTTTGTAAATTTGACTATGTTTCGCCGTAGATACGTTTTTTTTAGCTCTAGTTGGTTTCAACCATTGCTATAATGTACCCCGACCAAAGAGACAGATAAAGCATCGAGGACAACTCACCGAGATAAAATCAAATGCTTTAGTCTCCTCTTTCTTTGAATCATTCACCACGGAGGTCGGACCTTGAGTAGCAATGCTAGGATTAAATACATCTGGAAAGGGTGATGAAAACCCTCCATTATATCCAGTAGCATGGCTGACACCTGCACTTGGTTGCAGGTTCCCTAGCTGCTGAAAGTTGGACATTGCCGCAAGAAACTGTTGCTGAGCAAAAAGATTACCGATGGCATTGAAAGCCATTGGCTGAGAAACTAACGATGGATTGAACATCGAGCCAGGGGGGAAATTATATGCCATATCACCCAAAGGGAACATAGGATTAGCATTCTCCCCACTAGCTTGAGAACTGAGTACACTGTTGAAGACATCATTGGACTTTGAGCTGACATTTTCTGCATGCTTCTCTGCAGAGATTCCACTTAGCTTGGCAAATGGATCATTACCATTCATAGACAAGCCAGCCATCAAGTCATTAACATCTTTTCTAGAATTACCTTGATCCTGGGAAGCTTCAGAATTGGAACTCAAAATATCAAATGGCTCAGGGCCAGTTTTACGAGTAGCTACATGGGCATCAGTAGCTATTGACTTATCAACAGTCATCCCAGAAAAGATATCAACTGCATGGTCCTTATCATTCTTAGTGTGAAACGAGACATCTGCAAAAGGATCATCATCATACTTATGTTCATTGGTGTTTTGACTGACTCTAAAACTGTCTCCAAATATATCATCAATCAGAGGAGCGGCAGATGTTGCTGGATTTTCAATAATTTGATCACTATGCACTTTATTAGATTCTTCCACCCCAAGAAGGTCATCAGAATCACCAGTGTCTATTAAATTCGGCATCTGAAATGCAACTGGCTCAGCCTTCACAGATTTATCTAGCTGACGGACTCCGCAACCAGCTAGTTCACCACCCAAAAGACTCAACACCTGTCCATAAATAACCACACATTTGACTTAAATTAATTGGAAGCACTACTCAATCTAACAAAAATATTGTCACCAAACCATACGTTGCATTCAGTTTTTCCAAGGAAAAGAGAAAATAGCTAACAGAGCAGTGAAATCTCATTCAACAAAAGGTAAATAAGTTAAGGTATTGCAGTTGTAAATATTGTTTTCACATAATGTCACCCAGTTATTTCCTTCCCATCTCCTGCTTCAGTATTAATATTATATGTTGGGTTGTGATATTTAAGGCTTTGATCCCGTCCCTTCTTTATCTTGCATGAACATCAAGAACTAAAAATGATGAAAGAGAAGATTTCCAGCAATGTTTCTCGCTCACACCCCTATCCTTCTTCTTTCCTTCTATTTGATTTTGAATTTTTTTTTCTTTGTTCTTTGTTCTTTGTTCTTTTTATCTTTTTAGAGCAAATTATAAAATATTACCTTATTTGCTTTCTCCCTCAAAGATGCTTGAGGCGATTCAGAACATTTCACCACAACATCCTTGTTATCACTAAAATAAGATGCTATAACAGAAAAATGTTCATCATCTGCCTTTCGTAAAATTGCCTCAAGGACGGAAATGGCTTTCATGCGTACCTGACACAAGTAGCAATGTTGGAAAATATAATAAGTGAAAACCTCCATTTATATCATTTTATTAGCCTGACATATCATTTTAAGGAATAACGTCAAACAATATCTCCATAACTGTGTAGGTTGTCACTCTCCTATACATGAATAAACAGAACAGTCACTGAGATAGCAAACCTGCCACAGTGGTGATTGAAGTTTCGACTCAAGAGCATGCCCTAATGACAAAGCATCCAATTTTGATGCTTCCACAAGGAAAACCTGGAGTGCATCTCGAGTTGGCTGTAAACGGACACCACCATACGTCACAATGGTCTCTAACAATTTATCCTCACGAGTCTTTTCACTATAACTTGAACGAGAATCTCCATTTGTTATTTCTGCCTGGGATGCACTGAAATCTGGAAAGGAATTTCCAGAACCAACATACTTTGAGATGCGTGCACTGCTCTGAGTTTCACCATGAGAGCCAATTCCTTCATATCGATCAGGGTTATCATTTTCCCTAGTCAATGATCTCCGAAGATTCGGGCTCCTGTAACTCCCAGTCTCAATACTCTTTTTAAGGGATGGAGATTGTGTTAAATTACTTAAACCCTGCTTGATAGTAGAACTTCCAATATCAACCACCTCATTAAGAAAGGATTTCTTATCTTCTGATGGCATTTCAAAGTTGGTATTCCCAAAGCCTTGTATACGACTACCAAGACTATTCTCAGCAGATGCAGGTTTGTGGTCATCTGAAGAAAATATGGCAGATAATACTTCCTGTGCAGTTTCACGCACAGACTTGTTCAATGCATCAGCTTTTAAAGGATCTGGTTCTCCCTTGTGATGAATTAACTGACGTACAGCTACAGAGTTCCTCTGCATCTCCCTTCTGAACTCTGTTCCTGACTTTCCCACTGCATATTTGATCACTCTCAGTGCCTAAATAAAACAAATAAATCAGATGGCCACTACATGAGTATTGCACTGATACAAATTTAAGAGCAATAGTAATGTCTACTTTTCACTTGAAGAATAAAAAATTGTAAAGATGAAGGCAGGTACAGATGGTTCTGCCCATCAACAGTTTAAACCTGTAGGAGTCTGAAAGTTTCACTTTGATGGCTGAACTACCAGCGAGCTCTGAACTGTTCCATAAATTTGGAGCTAGCCTAGAACTAACAAATTACCCAGACAAAGCCATATTCACTCAGTTCTCAGTTCTCCATGGGACATTCTCAAATGTATTTATTCAGTTCTCAGTAAGTTATCAAGCCAATCATTGCTCAAGAAGCTTCCCATTATGTTTGTATTCCCTTAAACAAATCTATCCTTTTTATTCAAGTCCATTCCATCCCATTAAGTTTCAAAGGAACCTATTAAGTAAATCCAAAATCTATTGAACCTAATCCACTTGAAAATTAAATTAATCAATCGACTAATTCTCATCCTTTTGGACCAATCATCAGTTCAACAAAGTGATTCCAAAATGCATGATACCAGCGGTTACTTTAGATTTATCTTTAGTGTTTGTCTAAGGGAGAGCTTAGAGAACCACCCTTAAGGGGAGAAGAACAATATTGATTGACTTGCAGAAATTCACACAAACATACACGTTGATTTTTTTACAAGCAGATATGACCCATACTCCAAACTGAAACCAGTGGCAATTGATTATACAAAGTATAAAAAAAAAAAAAAAAAAAAAAAAAAAAAAAAAAAAAAAAAAAAAAAAGTGGGGCGAAAACAAAAACAAAATATTGATGGACATTCCAAGCTTAGAAAGAGAGCGTGACTGCGTTCTTAATAAGCCGTGTTCAAATTAAGTATAATGTGTTTTATCAATTCTAGTAACTCTATTTCTTAATGATCATACAGCTTTTGGATATCCCAGCATCAGAAACTCTTATAATACACCGAATTTCACCGTGAATCAAATGGATTAGAGAATTGATTAAACAAATAAAAACAAGAATATCCCAATTCTATTTAAAAAAAGGAACAAAATGCGGGGCTGAACGAACTTTCTGTTTGACGACAGGAGATTTATGCTGGAGGCGTTTGAGGATGAATTCGGATACTTCCTTAACGATGCTGACGTGGGATGACCTCAGAAGCTCGCAAATCTCCTCCAATTTGTAGACCGGAGTAACCTTGTCCTCGTCCGACGTCGCACCGTCTATCATCTTCGACCTCCAGTAAGACTCCACCGCTCTCCTGCTCTGCTCCATTTTCTCTGATTTATCTCTTTTTACTTATCAATAATCAATCAAAAAAATTCCGCTGACAGATCTATCGATCGATCCAAAAAAATATGAATAATTAACCAAATAATCAAAATTAATGATCAACCAATCGTCACAACTGAAGCCGATATGGATATTGAATTCGAGAAATGTAAAGGAATTGGATGAACAGTCTAGGGATTTTTAAGGGGTTTTGTTCTTTTATTTTTATTTTTGCAGTTTGAGAAAATTAATTATCACATAAAAATCGTGGAAAAATCGTTGTTGGGTGTATGATGTAGAAACGTGTGATGCTACTTTCTCAACATTCTGACGCGTCATAAATAAAAACAAAAATGGGTACAAATAAAACTAATTAGAAGATTAAAGAAATTGTAAACAAAAATAAAAATTAATTAATTAATTAGAGACAATTGTTAACAAAAAATAATCAATTATGCTATTTGTACAATCGTGCTTGACAATAGTGATTGAAAATATTGGAATTGTCAAACTTCGGACTATTGATTTAAAAATAATTTTTAAAATAGATGAATGTGATGTTGCTAAATATGAGTTATTAATTAAGATTGTCAAACTAAATTTATACATATAGCATGATTTAAAAATAATATTAATTAAAGGGGAGAGACACAAGGTGTATGGCCAGCGAGGCGGTGCCATCTCGTGTGGAAATGCACCCAAAATGCATACAACAAAAGTAGAATTTCGCATGACCATGAACATTTAAAAAAGTCTGAAAATTTATAGTTAACCATGTGGGCCTACATATGTAATTAATTGTGTATGAGGTTATCTTAAAGTTAAGCTCAAAATTAAATTGGTCAAGTAAAGAATTAAATTTGTGGAAGTTACAACCCTACATGTATTTAAATATCGCAATTCATAAATCAAAGTTGAGGTTTGTTTATTCACAATTCAGGTATTATAATTAATCTACAATTCAACCTCATCTCACGCCCACGCCCTAGCCTCATCCCCTTCCCAATTTCATACATAAACCCCTCTCTCTCTCTCTCTCTCTCTCTTCATTTTCCTCTCCATCATCATCTCCCTTTTCCAAACATTTTCTTCGGTTTACTCCAATGCTGATGCAAGACCAGCACGACTGCAAGAGGATTCCACTGCAAGAGAGCCGCCTACTGCCAGGACTTATGCTCCTAGGTGGCCGAGCGACCTTTGCATGCTGCTCTGGATCGACGATGGTGGTTGTTGGAGTGGCGCTCAAATAAAGATCGTTGCAGCATGTAGCTTCTCTTTTAATGCTTCTACAATGCGCTCAGATCGATCATGGTGTTTGGAGCATGCTCAGATCGGCTTCTTTTGCAACACTGTTGTATTAGCTCTGTTGATTTTTTTATGTTGTTAAAGTGTTGGTGATGGTTTCCATATGTTGGCAGTGCAAGGGTTATGGCATTGTTGGTGTAGGTGGTGGTGGATTTGGTAGTGGCGGTGAGATATTGGTTTTTGTTGGAGTGGTGGTTAGATATGGTGGTGCCGTGGATTTAAGTAGGATACAGGCAGTAATGGTGACAGTTGGTGCGATCTGTTCATGGTGGCATGTGCGATGGTGTTGCTGGTTTGGTATGGTAATGACAATGTTGCAAAATGGTGATGGCGATGGCAGTGGTGGTATCGTTTTTGTTGGAGTAGGTCGACATTTGTGGCCTTATGACCTATTAAATAGTTAATATGTGAGCGATTGGTGGTGGAGGTGGTTGTTCGTGGATGGAGATTTGATAGTTGTGGTTGTGGTGATTTTTGTTGGCAGTGGATTGGATCTAGTGGTGTCAATTTTGTTGGTGGTGCCATTATAGTGGTGGTGATGTGGCAGCAATGGCAGACTGAGGGTGGTCGCTAGTATGTGACCCACTATTTAGTATATGTGACCAAATATTTGGTTATCTGTGATCAAGTATTTAATTGTGACTTAAAAATTTGGTAATATGTGACTGAAAAATAATTTATGACCAACAAATTTGAAAATATGTGATCGATAGATAAACTGTGATTTATATATATATATATATATATATATATATATATATATATATATATATATATATATATATATATATATATATATATATATATATATATATATATATATATATATATATATATATATATATATATATA